AACACCAACGACTGGCTTTAGATGCTTAGAACCTGGTAATTAAATACGATGTATTTAAACGTGATGAATCCGTTCCTTGATGAAATAACATTTAACCGGTAATGTCTAGGTGACCGATATAAATCATATTTCAACCCAGGGTAACCTTGTGAATCATATTGTAGTTTAATCTTGGTGAACTTTGTGAATCGTACGCATGTAGTCTTGGTGAAGTACATTTCAATCTAAATGAAGTTTTAATACAATTAGGGAGTCTAGGTGAATACGGGAAATAGATCTGGGACATGTGAAGGTTTTGTGTTTTCCGAGAATTTGTGTTCGGGTTTAAAATGTTTTAAAAAACCAACTTACGCGATTGGGATGGTGGAATTAAGACGGAGAATTAATCTGAATGCTAACCAGGAGGATTGATTGAATTAAAGCAACAGAGTACTAAATGCCGGAATGAACTGTAACTTTAAAGAATTTAATTTTGTAAAAACCTCTTAAATTGTATATGTAAATTGATTGTACAATATACATATTTAAAATAAATTAATTAGTTGTGTTGTTTGTTGGAAATTTAAAAAAGCGGGCAATTAAGTTAAAGAACCTGAGGTCACTTTGTGACTACGTCTAACTCTTCATAAAGTTTATCAACTTGTACATCAAGCGCTCAATGTTCACGTGTGACCTTTGACATCACACGTGCAGAAATTCCTAAGCGTCGGGCTGTCGATTAGGGGAACCCTTACATTTTTGTCCTGTATACGCTCCATGAGTGTTTTTCGGGGAATCCAGTATTTTTCTAGTTAGATTGGATATCTCTACTTTCCATATATACCAAAATTACCATACTTTTATTGGAAATAACCATCCGATAAATAATTTTCTGGGAACCCATCTTTAAGGTTATTGCGGGATATATTTTATTTAATGCATTTTATTGATTTATTATTATAGGTGGTAATAAAGACTGTAATACTCGATAAATATATGTTACCAGTATCTACATTTCATATAAATAAACGTAGCTTGTTATGGATCAATAGGAAATAATGTTCCATAAGAATAGGCACAAAATATTTGCTATATAAGGTACATTAGTTAGACATAAATTTATTCTTCAGATAAGATCTGAATATAGACTTATTGATTGGAAAATATATACATCATGAAGGCACAGAATCTTTGTAATATGAATTTTAGTAGATTATAAAAAATATTATAAAAAATATTATTCTTCAGATAAGATACAAAATATATTCAAATTGCCATTATATACTTATATAGGCACAGGGGTCACGGTGGCTAAGTGGGTAAGACACTTGCGTGCTAGCCCGGAGGTAGGGTGTTCGATCCCTGCATTTGCGTTGAAAGTTCATCCAGATTTTCTGGAGTGGTTTTCCCCTGGTGAGTGATGCAGAATGGAGGGCCTGACAAGGACAGCTGTCTAGTCTTTCGGATGAGACGAAAAACAGGTCCTGTGTACAAATGATGTGCAAGTAAAAGATCCCTTGACAATTGAAATTTGATATAAGAGTAGGCTGTAGTGCCGGACAAAATTTCCCTCATAGCACACTGTATGGCGTATGCCCGTATTCATTAGCCCACTTCGGAGCAGAACAGTAGGACGTTAAACCCCATTTCATTTCATTTCTTTATATTGGCACAGAATCGATGTTGTCTATAAAGTACATTATAAATATAATTAATACACTCATTGATTGGAAAATATATTCAAACTGTTATTATGGATATGTGAATTATATTGTACGAGTTACAAATGGATAGACACTGTCAACATAGCAACACCATTTTGATAAAAATTTATTATTTTATTTTTCGGTCATTAACTCGATTTGATCTTATGGAATAACCGTTTAAATGAAGAGAAATGGCGTTTCACCTGACACAACTTGGTCATTTTCTAACATAATGTTACAACTTTATTTCAAAAATTTGCCTATAGCAGTTTGCAAAGGATCAAATATAAGCATCTCTAGCATTTGAATCATCACAGAAAAAAATATATTTCAGGGAGGCTTTGCCCTCTGAACATACTTCAACATTCAATGAGAGATGATCCAACACATGTTGTTTTAGTACCAATTAGTCTATCAATCACAGTGAGAGATGATCTCAAAAACATTGGTCTGATGCCAATTACTCTGTCGATCACAGTGAGAGATGTTATCAACCACATCGGTCTGATACCTATTAGCCTGTCAATCACAATCAAAGATGATCTCAAACACAGTGGTCTGATGCCTATTAGCCTGTCAATCACAATCAAAGATGATCTCAAACACAGTGGTCTGATACCTGTTAAATATAGTTTGACAACCACATTGAGGGATGATATCCAGCTCATTGGTCTGATACTGATTAGTTTGACAATCACAGTGAGAGATAACCTGAAAATTCATTAATCTGATAGTCACGTTGTGGCTAATTAATCTGGCACAAATTGGTCTTGTAGATATCATTCTGGCACAAATTGATCTGGTAGATATCATTCTGTCACAGTGTGGATTAACTGGCCCATATTGATCTGGTAGATATCATTCTGATAGTCACTGTGTGGATAAACTGGCCCATATTGATCTGGTAGATATCATTCTGTTACTGTGTGGATAAACTGGCCCATATTGATCTGGTAGATATCATTCTGTCACTGTGTGGATAAACTGGCACAAATTGATCTTGTAGATATCATGTGGGGTAGCATGTGAGGGGCTGATAAGGAATGTGTGGCTAGTTGTTGGGAAGGGGCAAAAAATGTGGCCCATCCATGCACACATTGACAGTCGGAACTCAGTAAAGAGTAGGTTGTAATGCATTGCACTCTATAGAATAAAAGTATCTATGTTAGTCTCAAGTTGAGACAATAAAACCCATTCCAGTACATTCTCCCTTTAAAAGATTTTATGAGATTTAGGGGGGTTTTCTCGATTCAAATTATATGGAATTGGACCTTTAGTAAGAAATACTTAAAAAAGGAGCCTCCAGGTCACTGAAATTATTTCATGTAATCATATCTACTTCCTCATACGTTCCATAAAAGCTAAGAGGGAGTCCAGGTGGCTAGGTGAGTAAGGTGGTCCCGGGATCAGTCTAGAAAGGTTTTTTACCTTGTTAGTTGTGCAGGACTCAAGGCCCAGTAAGGAACAGTTTCTATGGGATTAAAAGACTGGGGTCCTATCCTATGTACACATTTGCATGCACTTAGAAATTGGAAGAAAACTAAGCAGAAACCCTGCTGTCAGGGAAAAACTTTCTTCATGGCACATGGTGTATGCCCGTCTCCTTTTTATACGCCCATATTGAAATGTGGTCGTATATTGTTGTCGCCCCCGGCCGGCCGTCTGTCCGCCTGGCGTCCACAATTGCTTGTGGACGCTCTATAGGCTAAAGTTAATATCCGATTGACTTTAAATTTATACTCAGTGTTTAAGGTCATGAGAAGAAGAAGCCTATTGATTTTCAGTGATTTTCGATAATTACTGCCAGAGTTATGGCCCTTGATCACTTCAAAAAATCTTGTTAATATCCGATTGACTTTAAATTTATACACAGTGTTTAAGGTCATAAGACGAAGAAGCCTATTGATTTTCAGCAATTTTCGATATTTACTGCCAGAGTTTTGGCCCTTGATCGCTTCAAAAAATCTTGTGGACGCTCTAGAGGTCAAAGTTAATATCCGATTGACTTTAAATTTATACACAGTATTTAAGGTCATGAGACGAAGAAGCCTATTGAATTTCAGCGATTTCTGATAATTACTGACAGAGTTATGGCCCTTGATCACTTTGAAAAATCTTGTGGCCGCTCTAGAGGCTAGAGTTAATATCTGATTGACTTTAAATTTATACACAGTGTTTAAGTTCATGAGACAAAGAATCCTATTGATTTTCAGCGATTTCCGATAACTACTGCCAGAGTTATGTCCCTTGATCACTTTGAAAAATCATGTGGATGCTCTAGAGGCTAAAGTTAATATCCGATTGACTTTAAATTGATACACGGTGTTTAAGGTCATGAGACAAAGAATCCTATTGATTTTCAGCGATTTCTGATAATTTTTGCCACAGTTATGGCCCTTGATCACTTTGAAAAATCTTGTGGACGCTCTAGAGGCTAAGGTTAATATCCGATTGACTTGAAATTTATACACAGTGTTTGAGGCCATGAGATGAAGAATCATATTGATTCTCAACGATTTCGGATAATTACTGCCAAAGTTATGGCCCTTGATCACTTTGAAAAATCTTGTGACGCTTTAGAGGCTAAAGTTATCATCCGATTGATTTCAGATTGATACACAGAGTTTAAGGTCTTGAGACGAACAAGTATATTGATTTTCAATGAATCTTTATGACTTGAACAGCTAATCCATGATGTTAAAAGTTTCGTATACTAAACGTTAACAAGGGCCCAAACTTTATAAAAACCAAACAAATTCTAATTGTTTTCTGATAATTATTTAATGAGTTGTTACTCTTAATCAGATTTTAATATATTATAAATGTTTCATTACCGAAAAAAGTAAAAATATGCGACAACTCTTGTTGACTGCCCGGACGATATAGCTGCTGTGGGCGTATGTTTCGTTGCCTGGCAACCCATCTTTTCCAGTTGCTGCAGAAAAGTAAGACACTAATCCACATTTATATGAGAGTCTTCATGTAATCAAATGGAAATTGAACCAGCAACTGAAGTTTTGGAATTGTAATTAATCATCATTTAAATGTCAAAATATGTATTGTATTTGAGGTCCCTTACCAAAAACAGCAGAATAGGCTGCTGTAGAGTGCAAGCTATTTGTAGAAAATGTCATATGTATTATTATTATTATAGTAATTATTATAATGTTAGTTGAGATTGATCAGAGGTTCTCGTCATGTTTTATTAATAAACCTTCATCTTTGACATTCATAATGTTTAAATTACTAGAGCATAGTTTTTTGAATAACTAATAAGTTCTGAAACGCAATCAATATTTTTCTGTATCTTTTCAGGCGATGCATTGTTTTTATGGATTTGGAGCCTTTGTTAGTCCGATGATTGCGTCATCTTTCTTATTAAATAGAGATTGTTCTCCATTTGTTGATGGTTTCACACTGGAACCACCGCAAGAGAGTGTCAAAATTGGATTAAATAAAACCATTGATGTTCCACCACAACCACAGAAAGTTTTCCGTTACACTCACATGTCTAAATTACCCTATGCTTTCTACATACTAGGTGGTTTACAGGTTTGTATAATTCTGCATCAATCAATCAAAGCAATAAAGATATGGATTCAAGGAATGTGGTTGTCTATTGTCCATCAGGCTGTCTGTCCGTTTGTTGTCCAAAATTTCCAGTCAAGACTATAGAGACTATATTTATCGTCCAATCTTTTATATATACGCTCACATTTTCATGTGGACGTATATTGTTGTCACCTCTGTCCATCCGTCCGTCCACAATTTGTTTGTGGACAATCTTTAGGTTCGTTAATGAAATAAAATTGGACCATGTTAGTCCCAAAATGACCTAGTTTGTGTCGAGTGGACGTTAAACCACATTTCTCTCTCTCTCTTGATCCATCACTAATCCAAACAACACAATTCAATACTTTATTTGAACCTAATTCTGATGATTTATTGTATTTAAGTTGGCCGTAGCTGCTGTAGTTTTAATGCTGGTTATTAAAGAAAGATTTGGTAGTGTAGCAATACAAGTACCGTTTGTTGATACAGGGGAGACAACTATCGTAGAACCATGTAAGTATTGCTTAGAGGGATCTCTTTCTGAAAAATATGATGTAATAAAGGAATATGTTCATAGGGGTCTTAACCTTTCAAACATGAGCCGCAGGACTTCTGGACATATTGTTGTAATACCCACACTAGGAATGGACAGTTCTCCGGCCGCAACCTTCGCTTGTTTATGTTCAGTCGGATGTCAAGACCTTTAGTAAAACTAGCACCAAAAAGCGGAATATTGGTGATAAACTAAGAAAACAAAGTTACAGTGCTCAAATCACCAACTCCACCCTTCACTTGTGTACATCAGGACACTCATGTCTTAGTTCCAACACGAAGTGTATATGCCGCGAAAATTTAAGGGACACAGTGCATCGAAAATGTTAGGGTTTAGTGAATTTTACCCTATGAAATATATGATCTTATCTTATATTCTTTTTATTTTTATGTTTTAAACCCAAAGAACTATTGTCATAACAACTTTTCATCATTAATCTGTCTCTTAACTTTTTACATTTTCAAATTTTCTTCGAGCTACTTGATGGAAGTTTTTCATATAAATTTGATACCCAAGAATGAAAATATAGACACTTTTGCATAGACAAAGAAATTATTAATATATTTTTAGCCTAACCCAGCCCATTGATGGGTGATTAAATCTGCTTGGGCTCTTTGTTATAAAGGTCAAGTAATTAAAGTGCTTTATGTGTATTACTCTCCTATGGTGCCTAATTAATTTTATTTCATTATAGCAAATAATGATGGAAGTTTATTGTCGAGACTCAACTGCTGTGCATTTGGTCCGAAGCAAGTTTTATTCATTACAATTATATCTTCAGTTATATTATTTATATTTGATGGCTTACAGGTGAGTAGATATATATATAAATTGTGTAAAATATTGTTGGGATTAATTATTGTGTCATCAAATTATTGCTAAATATCTCAGCTTCATAAAACAAAGTGTCCTTAATAAACCAGAAATTCTAATATATTTTATTTTAATTTTCAGTCTTCCTATGCCAATTATATTTATTCTTATGCTCAAGAAGCAGATGTACCGATAGAAAAATATGAGGGAGCCATTTTAGATGCATGTTTCTGGGTAAGTTTGTGGAAAAGTAGAGGTAGTTATCCCACCATATGGTTTTGTATTTGATGATAAACTTAGTGAATCCACTGAATCTTATTATATTTATCAGAGCCGCGATGGTTCAGTGAGTAAAACGTTGGCTTGCTAACCTGGACGTCCTGTGTTCGATCTCAGTGTTGGCTGAGAAAGTTCATCGTGATTTTCCAGCGTGGTTTCCCCCTTGTCAGTGGTGCAGGACTGAGGGCCTAGCTAGGGACAAAGTATAGTCATTCAGATGGGACTAAAAACTGAGGTCCTGTGTATATATTGGCATGCACGTAAAAGACCCCATGACAGTTGGAATTTGATATAAGAGACAGCTGTTTCGCCACTGTCCTGGCAAAATGTCCCTCGTAGCACACGGTATGGCATATGCCCGTCTTCGCCCAGTAGGGGCAGAAAATTAGGACGTTAAACCCCATTTCATTTCTTATTATTTATACTGAATATTGACAAAAATTTTGTGTGCCAGGTTGATCTCAGCCAACAATATGGCATCTTGTTCACTCGATTATGAGAAAGTTTGCAAGAAGTTTAATATAAAAGAAGTGACATGTCAATTTTATGTCAGTTTTTATTTATTTAACAATTTTTTTGATTGGTCGATAGAAAAAGCACAAACATCAAGGGCAGACAATTTGAATACGTGTCTCCCCCATGATTTAACCCAGGGGTTAGTGGAGTGGAACGGAATGAGACTGAGGATGGCATTGTGGAAACTTTTTTAATAGTAGATAATAATAAAATATAAAGAATCTGAAATTACTAGAGTTATTTGCCCTTTAAGCATTATGGTGTCTGTGCTGGATTGAAATGTGGAGACATAAGTCAAATGCAGTTACTGAACGGTAAAAGAATTAAATGTGCAGAATTTAATTAATTTGTTTTATGTTTTTCTTTCCAGGGTCTGTTTTCATTTGGTCGTCTAATATCTGTATTTTTTGCCGCCAAATTTACAGCAGCTTTCATGTTACTGTGTAATATTGTAAGTATATTTATAACAAGAATAGCAGATGACCGAGCACTGCCCGTAACTCTGAAACCGGAAATGGTATCCAAGACCGCCCCTAGCCTATGTTACCCCTCAGTCCGAGCTACCCCATTACACCAATTTTCAGCCTCGGGCAGGGCCCTCACATAGGGAGGGGATGAGGGGGGCATATGCCCAGGGTGACACTTCTTGGGGGGTGGCAGATTATCTGAGTGCATACCAGAAATATTCAACAGGGGATCTTTTGAATATTTATGGACTAGCCTCCTTGGAGGCTGAGATAGCAAATCACCGGCCATCGCTTCCCCTAAACCTGTGTAAACCAGTTCATGTTTCAGCAAATAGAGAGGGTAGAATTATTATTCCTCCAAGATATATTATAGGGTTTTTCGATCAAATGGAGGGTTGAAGAGGAAATAAACATAAAAAATTTACATATAAGTTGATTTAATAAATAGTTGTTTAGATAAGTGTTAAAAGTATAAAAATAGTATTTTAAAATTTCTTTAATCCTAAAAAATCAACTGGCTGGCACAGACAAAGCAGTTACAGTATGCGGGGGGTGGGGGGGGGACTGAAACTTTTGCCATGGGGCGCCACACATAAGCCTCAGGACAGCCCTAGTGTAGCCGCCAATCCTGAACAGACAGACAGACAGACAAATATTTGTATATTTACTATCTAGAATGAAGACAACATGTAATTCATGTGAATAATATATCATATCATGTTCTGCAAAGACTGGTGTAAATGACTGTCAGCAATTCTATAATGATCAACTAAATGGGAATCACACAATTAGTATTTTATTGCAAATAAATTGTTTTATATTATATTCACAGATTAACCCTTTAGCACTTTCTTCATGTACATGTAAATATTGACTACCCCATTTCCCTGAAAAATATTAGAAAATTGTCATGTTTTTTCATTAAGTTTTGAAACAAAAAACTACCCCACCCAAGATTGACTCAAACTGACTGAGTCACAGAGCTAGTATACAATTTTTGAATAGTTCTGAGCTATTCCCATGATTCGAGCAGTTTGTGGCTGCCATTTCTCGCCCTCCAAAAGGGTTAAGTTGAATTAGCCTTAAATGTGGATTTCTTTTTGATTATTATTAATTCTTGGAGAATTTCTAATCAGATAGTTTTTTTTATTTTTCAGGTTGGTACTGCCTTTGCTATTTTAATAACAATAATATTTCGTTCCAATCATGTTGCGATATATTTAGGAACATGCCTAGTTGGAGTGTTTGTTAGTTCAATGTCTCCATCAGCTATGTCAATGACTGAACAATATATTGATATAAAAGGTAAAGGATTTTAGTTTTTAACTCAATAGTAATTTGAAACTAGATTATATTATAGCTGGGATGGGGGTGATTAGACTCGCAGGTGAGCTGGAAAACCTAGTGAATAATGAATGAATGAATTTTCGAGTTGTCTCCCTTTAACATCCCACTACTATGTGAATAAGTTTATAGAAAAGTAATTAAATATAGTTGATCATTCTATGTATGTAATGCTTTATTTGTGTCTTTACATGGTCTGTTATCATTTGATTTTTTATTTCCTGAAAATTGTTTATTCTGAAAAGTCCTCATTTCTGGAGTTTGTAAATCCATTAATTTGCTATCTGTGTTTTATTATTCCAGCATCAATAACAACATGTCTAGTTGTGGCTGCATGTTTAGGAGAAGCTTTATGTCCTATTATTGTTGGTAATGTAAGTATATAAACTATTAATCCATAAAAGTATTTATGGTTATCACAAAAATAGGTGAACCACTGCACCTCACTATTTTCCATATTTATTTCATCTACCGGCTTCAAGTTTATGTCAGTAATTTATCCCGATTGCTACTGCTGCCAAATCCTGTACAATTGATACATGTTGGAAGTAAAAGATGTCTGTGATATATGTATGATGTATGAAATATTATTATTTTACAGTTGGTTGTGAGTATGGGATCAGTGAGTTTCTTAGCTTTCTGTTTTACAATGACACTAGTTTCTTTACTGCTCTACTGGGCTCTCTTTGCAGCTGGAAAAGAGATGCCAAAATTCATTGGTAAGTGTTTAATGCATTTGAATTTATTTAAAAACGTTCTTGAAAAATCTGTGATATTAACTTGAAGGAATAAATTATCCTTAATATAATGTAATAAAAGTGTGTGTGCTTACAGGGTTATCCAAGTGAGAATGTTTATTACGACATATTATAACCAATCATCTGCAAGTAGCGTTAATATAAATGAAATATTCCATATTATTTCTAGATAATATAAATAAAACATTCCAAATTTCCAAAGAATATAAATAAAACATTCCATATTCCTAGAGAATATAAATAAAACATTCCCTGTTTCTAAAAAATAAATATAAAACATTCCAAGTTTCCAAAGAATATAAATAAAACATTCCAACAAAGAATATAAATAAAACCATCCAAGTTTCTATAGAATATAAATAAAGAATTCCATATTTGTAAAGAAACTTACTCAGTAACTGAAAGTTATTGTCATTTAATCATTGCAAAAAAGTTAATGAAATTTAAATGTGTGCAGGACAAGAAAATAGACATTTTTTTATTTATGGCAGTTCAGTTAGATATTTTATTATATTTCATGTTTGTCTGTATTTAATTTAATTTTTATTTCAGCTGGAGGGAAAAGATCGTTTGTTTTTCTGCGTCCGACTCCTGGAGATGGAAGTGATGAGAATACTATCATTGATCCATCTAGCGTTAAATATTATACACGTATGCCAGAGAGCGACAGCAAAGTGGAATTGGCTCCCTTACCTGATAAAAATAATAAAACAAATGGAATTTTAAATGATTTGTAACATTAATATGTTTAATTATCTGTGTATATAATATTTTGTATATAGAATATTGTGAATCTGTGATTTTATTAAATTACTGTCTATGTCAGATTTACCAGGGACTTGCTTTCAGTTAATCACACTTAAGGGAAGGGAGGGAATTGAAACGGCATATATATGGAGGCAGATCACCACTAAATTTCACCATCTCGGTACCCACAATATGTAGTTCGTCTATTTATAGCAATTCTCTCTTTGGATGAATAGGGTTTGAATTAACATTTTCTGTCAGGTTTTGGTAACTATTGATGATTTTGAGGCGGAAGGATAACAAGGTTATCAGGTTGGTTATGGTGATATGTACGGCGAATAGTTACATGTTTTTAGTATGCTTCTTCAAGTTTGTGTATCTTAAAATTTTGGTGGTCAACCTCATACAAATTTTGGTACAAAGACATGACCATTTGTTTCTCTGTCTGTAGTGAAAAGCATTCAGCCCAACGAAAATTTGGGGAAAAGTTGGAGCCGGGCAAAGAGGCCAGAATTAACATTGAAGTCAATGGGAAAATTAATGGTGGTCTGCCTCCATACCGGTTAGCAAGTTAGATCAGTAACTAAATGGTTGTATATTCAGTCCTGGCACTAGCCGGTTGTTGAATCGCTATGTCCTTTGATAAGCCATTTTATGCCTGTATTCCATACTACCAAGCTGTAAATGGATACTGGTAGGATAGCTTGCTTAAAAATACCCCACATTACGCAGCATGATTAAAGTCTGCAATTCAGGATGTGACTTACGGTTAAAGAATCAAGTGAAATAAAAGATATACCACAGACTTTCATTCTCCAAAAAGTATACATGATTATGATCAGTGAAATGCAAGTTTTGGGGAAATCTGAAATAGACAATAATTATTTATTCATTGTGATAGTTGAACATTGGTTGTGTAAAGCTGTGAGTTCTTTAATACAAATTATAATGGTGCATTATTCAGATTGTTTTGTTATCTTTATTGTTTTGTTAATTTATCAAAGCTGTTTGTTTCTAGAGTAAATATTAACATCAAAAAAGGAAAAATAAATGAAAGTACAATTTAATTTTAAACAAATCAAAGAACACTAACAATTAACATACTATGGAAGAAGAATTACTAATTAATTTGTTTAGGCGACATTTAGATGAGTATTCTGTCAACTGAACTTGTGTGGAAACTTTGAAAACATTGCCTATATAAATAAGTAATTGTTCTTTTATAGTATGTGTTATAGTTTTTAGCTCTACCCGGTTACTAAATGCCTCTACAGGATTAACACTCTGTACATTGAAACTTTTGATATTATGGAAGATCCACAAACAATGTTAATATTTAGTCAATTTTAATGTCACATCACTAGAAATGTTGCTTGTAAAGTACTGTGTTTATAATTCATTGACCAATAGAGAATGTTTCTAATAGTTTCCCCATCAGATTTATTCAATTTCAATTAAACCTTCTGGTGGTTCCCTGCTTTTATCAGTGTTGATTGGTCAGAATATTAATGGTGATGGATCCAATCTAAGTACTAATAATTGAAGTATCATCGTGGTACCATTTTTTCTCTATTCTCCTGTGTTTGTTATAAATGCATTATTTTGACGACCTTCTCAGGATTTAGCATCCATGTATGGTTAAAGAAATAAATACAATGTTTTTATATGTTACATGCTCTCAAATTACCTGTGATAATATTACTTTTTTTTCTAAAATGTAACAATTCTTTAATTAAAGGTGCAACATGCTAGAATACATTTGATATAGAGTTTAAGTCTATTACTGTACCCATTCACAAATAGTTTACTTACAAATTATATAAATCCTGAAATTATTGATATCGATAAATTTTTGAACTTATACTTATTTTAACTGTATCTGTGTCAGTGTTAAAAAAAAAACTCAACCCAATATCAATACATTATGCAAATTTATAAATTCTAACTATTCTCAGTAAATCTGGTTTGTTGATTTTATGATTATAATAAAGCGTTCCTATGGTAATATAAATTGGCACAAGTTTAATCAAAATAAAAACAATTTGTGATAATTCTCTGGTGTATTATATAAAATGTTAATGTGTTTAAATGTATGTTCTCTAAACACTAAGAATTGTAGTTATGGCTGCACTAAGTTGTGTTTGATTTTATATGATGACAGAACACATGGAATTGTAAAAGATTATTTATTTTTAAATAAATGACATTATTTAAATACTTAATTATGGATATAATTTAGCAGTGGCCATAAAAATATTTGTGATATTTTCACACAAAAGAATATTAGTTTACCCCTTAAAGTTATTGCTGTCTCTACCTATATGTGTATCTCATGTTAGTGTTTGGCTGAAGTTTTTATTTATTATTGTTAAATCAGAGGCTAATTCCATACCATTAAATCAACATAGGAAAGATGTATATTTTTTTTGTATTTGTTCATTTTTTCACATAGAAGAATGAATTAATTAAAATATAATATGCATGTATTATTAAGGTATAAAATTTAGAGACGTATCTTTAAAGTTTTATGGAGCCAAGGTGACAAATTGAGTAATATGCTGACTCGCTAGCCTGGAGGTCTCAGGTTCGATCCAGGTGTTGGCCGAGAAAGTTCATTGAGATTTTCCGGCATGGTTTCCTCTTGTCAGTGGTGCAGGACAGAGGGCCTGACAACGGCAGTTGTCTAGTCATTTGGATGGAATTAAAAACCAAGGTCCTGTGTATGCATTGGCATGCTTGAAAAGATCCCTTGGCAGGTGGAATTCGATATAAGAGTAGGCTGTGCCGCCGCTGTCCAGGCAAATCTTCCCTTATAGCACACTGTATGGTGTATGCCCTCATTAACTCAGAGTTTTATTTTGTTTTCTATATTAGTAAACATCCAGACTTTTTAATAATTAGTTTTTTTGTTGTTTTTGCTTAAAGATAAGATTAAAACATATAATGTTAAATAATCTTTTAATTTATATTGTTATTTATGTAAATGAAATATGTATTAAAGTGATGTATATATTGAATGTTTTCTATTTGATAATATTCATTGTTTTTATCTGTTATCATGATGTATTGTATTTACAAATTAATGCTCATGTAATTTCTTGATTTGTATGTAAAATAAAGGTAGTGATGTGAAAGAATTTGTTTTATTACATTATCTAGTGTCAAAGACAGTATAATCACGATTGTGAGAACTGGTTAGTTTTTAGAAATCGGTAATAAGCACATGGGTTACATTTGGTCTATGGGTGATACACAGACGACGACATAACGTTCACAGGTTATTGCTGCCATCACCAATTCCTTAAATTGTAACCATCAAGGTTAGAGTTATGAACATATTATTTAAGATAGCCACGTAAAGAGTGGAAATACGTACGCCTACCTATGAGCAGATATATGTCGGGCAATAAAGATAGCAATAGACGGCAGCTTACTGTTATCTGAATGGAAAACTGGGATGTCGACCAGATTTGATAAGGGTCCTTAATTTATGCCTTCAAGAACTTTTATCTCTATGGTATCCACAAACTTTCTTCGGTACAATGCTTCACATAATAATTGAAACAACGACTTCATACGCACACAGTCACAGCGCTTCATGCCAAATTGGAAAAAAATAATCCCTTAAAAACAGTAACCACTACCTGTACTTTCACGGTGTTTTCTTAAGAGGGTTCGTCTTCTCATGGTCGCAGTTCCCCACACCAATTCTCAGAAGAGGAGGGGGGGGGGGGCTTCGAAAAGGAAGGATGCGGAATGCTGAATATCTATGGGGGGTTCTAGTTTCTCAGATGTCCCGAATGCTTTACACCAAATTTGAAAAGAAATGTTAGAAACTGTACCCCGCCAATACCCCTACAAAGTTTTCGGGAAGATCCTGGACCGATAATGTGGCGGTGAATACAGTTTAGTGAGATTTCTTGGGCATGCTCATAGAGGTGTATATATAGACAATATATACACCTCCATGGGCATGCTGTAATATAGTTTTGTCTGTTAACACTGAAAGCCCAGTAGAAAATCAGATGTGTACATAGAACATGGTGGGGTCACTGCCCATAAAACTAAAACCTAGTTAAAGTTCTAGAAACAAAAAAAAACTGCCAAGATTTAATGATCTGTTGATGACCCTTCGATTGTATGCCTGAAGTCTCAAGCATAGGGTCTAATATTAAGAAATGAAGACATTTTAAATATATGCGTACAAATTAGATAAAGGTTCTATTGAAATTAAGTAGGACAGTTTGTGTATAACGAGGTTAAAGCCATAATTTTAATTATCAAAAAAACTGAGTTATTGGATGCCCCCCACCCCACCCGAAAAGGATACCGAGACATGGGTGAAGTTGTCAGACTAATCCTTGCCATCAGTTGTTTTCCATTTCAGCTAAATGTAGTAACTTTAATCATCGTACCCAGAAGTTAAATTTTATTTGATCTATTTTACTACATAATTAATATTCCCCAGGGTTATTTCTATTGTAGGCTGCCAGCCAAATCCGCAATTAATATAACCTAAATATTGGTACATAATGCAAGGATTAAAGATACATTATGGGGGATTAGATAAGGAGCTGGTAGTTCTCACTATAATAGTTAAAAACTAGATAATGTAAAGAGAATTTGCTGAAAATTTCAGTCAAATTGATCCACGCTGAACCGAGCATTTAGCGATTGAATTTTGGGCCTAGCCTCGATCATCATTACTTAAGTCGGTAGGATGAAAACCATAGTCTCGATTATCTATTTTTTGATTTAATCAGAAGCAGCAGGCCGGGTTCTAATCCAGTAAATATCACAGGCTAGCGATGCCATCGAGGGCTGATTACGGTCTGGATAAGTTAATTAATGTCTAATTAATAATTTAGATAACATTTCAGGCCTAAAGAAAGACCTGCAGTTGGCAGATTGCATCATGTATGTTTAATAGAAAGCGCCCAATGGACTGTGCGACTACTGGAACTATAGGTATAACTACTTTTACTTTTATCGCTAGGGTTTTCCTGGTATGCTAGGTGAAATAAATATCATTATATTGGGGTTTGATGTAGTGAAACACTATTAGATTGCCAATGGATTCGTTACTGCATTCGGGAAAACTAAAACAAGGAAGATATTCCTCAATAATATGTAACAACTTTGATTTTGCCGATAACTACATACAAACAGGTAGATGCACACCTCTTGTGCAAATAACACCGTTTTCATATTAATTACATCATTAATCTATCGGTGATTATTAATTATTATTAATTAAGCTGGGGGATATATATTCAACCAGGAAGATAGACCACGAGAATATTTCGTCAATCATACGGGTCATTGAATTCACTGACTTTTGATGGCGACTGTTCGATCAGTTGACATTCATCATCGGTTGACGTGGTTAACCTGACTCAAACCAATGACACTTTAGAAACAGGAATAATTCACATACAGAGAGAAGAGTTGGAAACTGTGACTAATAAATCAAAACTTGGAATTCAACAAAAAGGACACACTTGTAGAAAGATTTTATACTAATGCGAAGATGTGAATTTTATCAAAAAACTAGATTCTACATGAATGTTCTTAAAGTTTAAAGGGTACAGAAACTAAGCTAATTTTGATAGAGAAAAGTTAACATCGCACAAGGTTTAAAGACCGATATTTGTGGTGTTTTATTATTTACAATATTCCTTACAATTTAAGAAAAGGAGGTATAGAAACTAACTGATTTAGTAATTATGCAGATTTTAGAGATTTTGGTGGTTTTTACTATATTTCTGTTCACAGTGCAAGGTAAGTGTATAAGTGTACATACTATTATAAACCTCATATATTTCTTATAGTAGGAAGTATTACTTAAAAGAGATGTCGCTCAGGGACGATTAATTCGTATTCATATGTCAATGAACAATTTATTCATTTCCAGGCTTCACAGAATTGTGTTATTTGCATATTCAGGAAAATATATCCAATTTTACACGGCTTTATTGATTATATAACATATAAAGGAGCGAAATCTCTAACTCAATATTTTCCATAATATTTGAAATTAAAAACGCGAATTATAATTCAATCAATATTGATGTTGTTATCTTGCCGTGGAAATATAGGATCCTAATATCCAGTATTTAAGACACAATGAACATTTTATAATCAGTACACGAGTCGTGTATTCTTTGGTTTCGGGTGCCATTTTGTAATGAACAAATACAAACATCTCCTACAAGACAATGTGGAAGTAACTAGTAAAGGCTCATTCACAAAAGACAAAGTAATATTTTTTTTTAAAAAAAAACAACAAAAAAACCAAAAAAAAAACCGTGCAAAATGGACTAAGCAGCGTAAACGACGGTCGTTCATTTAAACTTTTCACGTATTTCACCGAACATTAATCATTTTACATAGATTCATATTACATTAATATGTGCTTTTTACAATCTTTTTCGTCTATTTAAAGATTCCAAATATAAAGCTATTCGCCCTTTAATTAAGAAAACAAAATCATCAAGGGCTGGTTGCTCAAAACTAAGTTATTTTAACGATCCGTTAAACTCTAACGGATCTTTATCTTGCTAACGTGTCGTTTGCTAACGGCCCGTTAAATTTCTGTTGCTAGAAAGTCAATTTCCTTATCCGTTAGCTAACGCACTGATTAAAGTTATTTTAAATTTTTAAGTTAAATGTACATGTATAACAACTTCATAGAATTTCATCCTATAGAACATGGAATAGCCCCCCCATCGCCCAACCCTCTAGAATGTTCTATAGAAAATTACATTGGTAATCTATGACGTTTTGCTAAGGGTATACTTCGACTGACAGCCGACTAATTTCATCGTTAAAAACAGATAAAGGAGCCCAACACCCCCGTTAAATATAACGGCAAATTAACGTTAAAGTTAACGGGGCTTCCAGCAACAGATTTTCTCTCCGTTAAAGATAACGATCCATTAACTCCATGTTAACGAGTCGTTAAAAGTTAACGGAGCTTTGAGCAACCGGCACCGGATCAACTGTAGATAATCCGCCTCTTAGATTCTATCGGATTTAAAAAGGGATCAATCAAAAGATTTTAGAGAAAATTATAGGTGGTACTAGTTTGTTCTGATAAATTCCCGTTTATATCATCTGCAGAGTATGCAAAAAGTTAACAAATTTTCAATTCATCGTATCACTGTAAATACTGAACGGAATTGAACTATTTGGGACTGGTATTCATTATAGAGATTCACCTTTCACGATATTGTAGTATCCAATCCTTTAAAACTTACATTTGTTTTGATAATCTATTTTATTATATTTCGATAAATAATGACATTCAACCAGACAGTCATAATCAGTTATTTCGTTGATATTTGTCATGTTACATATGATATTTTATTGTGCATCTTAAATTCGTAAAAATATGTTTTATCTCTACAAGGAGATGTTGCACGAATATATTTAAAAAAAAACTGAGCTTAAAGATAATCATCATTTAATTTAAAAAAAAAAAAATACGGAAATACAGTAAAGTTTATAAATTCTTAATTTAATTACGGGTGTGTAAGGCATAAGATAGACGAACCAACATAATAATTATCTGACGTTTCAGGGCGTGTTACTCTCACCTCCCTATCCCTTGAAGGTTAATCAAACATATATGGATTAATCTAACCACGTAATTAATTAATTATGACTCAGATAAGCCTGCGGGCTCGTTTTCTAGAATTCTCGAAAATATTGAAAAATATATATACCTAGATATCATTATATATGGTCTGGTGTTATTAAATATTATCCAATAAACAATCAAAAATTATGTTTTTAAAGATAAAGCCAAACAAAATTTATGTTCCTAAGGAATTAATTGCTCCGGTCTTGTAAATGTGCAAATGACCTACTCGTAAATGCCATGTACATATATCATGAATTGAAAATAATTTTCTGTTTTGTACTGCTCTGAAATTCATTTAATACAAGTACACTTTGTAATTATAGATTTTTGGTAAATATTTTGTTATTTCATCCTGTGCTTACTTTTATTTTTAACACTCTTGTGGATAAAAAAAAGTCACGTGATATTTTATAGCGTGTTTGCGAAAGACCAATACATGTCTCCCAAATAAAATCCCCTATTCCCTATCTACTGGACCCGTCGGTGAAGGTGGGAAAGTTTATTGATGGGTATAGTGATATAATAATACTTAATAATTATTATAACAGTCTTTAAAGCATCCCCAAATTTCGAATAGACATTTCGCGGTAGATTTGTCAATCGTTGGTGACTTGCCGCGTATATTTGTTAGGCTTGGCATGGAAGTTTTGGGAAATATTGGGAATGATAAATAATCGATAATTTGTGTTGGTTTATACGTCACAGCACCTTGAGGGCACACGTGTGTCTTATATATCCCTAAGTGTTATTCGTAGAGGTATATCCTAGAACAAACAAATTAGGGTTAATTAACTTCCTTTTTTCTCCAATAATTATAAATGAACTTTTCATTTCAACTGACCTTATATTGGTGCACATAATGACCTGTTTTAAAAAAGGAATGTCGCATACATCGTACCCTATAACAAAGAAATTAACGTGCGCACTAATTTTAGGTCTTATAAAGAAATATTCTGGATCTCAGAGACCACCAGTTATAATTTGCAATACAGTTTTATTAGGTATAAGCGATTGTCTGTGAAAAAATTATATGGCGCATATACCATTGACAATTATAGGGAATTAGCGCCCTCACAAAAATTAATTTCCATATACAGTACATGTCAACTAATAACATCTCTAACTTAATTGATTTTTTTTTCTTTGTACATATTTTAGCAACCCCATGCAGTGGTAAATATGGATTCTGTCATTGGTGTAAGTATGATTCTAGTTCTTTAGCCATCAACAAAACACTGAACATGTATTTTTATTTTCCGATCTTGACCGCCATATCTCACATCGATATCACCAAGAAAAATGTTATTCTGTTGTAGTATACCCTTTAGATAGATTTACGATAACTTGCTATGATGAATTTTAATCTTTGATATCATGATTGTTGGAAGCGAGCGGTAACTCCAATCTAAGTTCTCTTGGTCATCCAACAGAAAAAAGACTTGGTTCAGAATCCAGATCAAACGCCGAACTGTCCAAAACTAGACTGTTGAATTTGGTCCACAATCTTTAGTTCCTTTAGGAACGATCTCTGATCGGACCGTTCATAAACGAACTACATAATCTCCAAATCTATCATACAGCTGAAAACGTGTCACTGAAGTTCGGATGGCCGGCAGAATAAAAGTATATAAGAGTCTTCAACAAAATATACCTGAGTTGGATGGTTTAGTGGTTTAACGCGGGCGCCTGAAATCACAAGGTCTGTAATTGAGTCAAGTAGCGTGGTTTCGAATCCCAGCTTGAACGTGGGTTTTATCCGGGTCACCCGGTTTCCGCCCACTGCTAAAGACCCCTACGCGCAAACGAACTATTGAAATAAAATTGAACCTTACGTTAGTCCCGAAATGACCTACTTTGTCTCAATTATCAATGATTATTAAATAATTCAGTTATTTTCAATGCATTAACGCTTTCAGTAAAATTAACTGGGAAATATGTTTGACAAATCTTGAATTACCCCTCCGAACGTAGAAATGCGCAAATGTTTTGAAGATTTGCGGTATTTACTCATTTTTTTGCTTCTTATTTTAAATAGTGAATATCTATATTTTCAGTAAACATAGCATTAAATAAACCGGCCACTCAGTCATCAACACTTCCTCAAGCTAATCGTTATTGTGATCCTAATGTAAAGTTCTGTCCTAACAACACAGCTGATGAGGCTGTTGACGGTAATAAAAGTAATCTATATAATGAGGGATCCTGCACCCATACTGGGTTACCACCATCCGATGTTGAATGGTGGAGTGTAAATGTTGGACCTGGACATTTAATTCACTATCTGGAAATCTATCTAGTGGCAAATCCATGTAAGTATTGCATGAATAAAATGCGATTTGACGTCTTACTTTTCTTCTTCAATCGTAAGACGGGTTATCCGCAATGAAGTGTGATATGAGGCTTTATTTGCTTGGACATTATTTGAATTCCAACTGCCAAGGGTTCTTATGTGTGCACAAGGTGTACACTCTACCTCTGTTTTTTTTTGTCCCGTCTGAACAACAGTCTAGCTGAACACAAGAATCGAATCCGGGACCTCTGGGTTACTAAGCAAGCGTCTTGGCCACTGAGATGAATGAAATGAAATGGGGTTTAACGTCCTACTGTTCTGCTCCTATGCTGGGCTAATGAAGACGGGCATACGCAATACAGTGTGCTATGAGGGAAATTTTGCCCGGGCAGCGGCACTATCGCCTACTCTTATATCGAATTCCAACTGCCAAGGATCTTTTACGTGCATTTAAATGTATACACGGGACCTCGGTTTTTCGTCTCATCCGAAGGACTAGACAGCTTTCCTTGTCAGGCCCTCCGTCCTGCATCACTGACAAGGGGGAACCACGCCGGAAAATCTGGATGAACCACTGAGCCACCGCAACTTCGTTTTTTCCGAAGAATCAAAGCAAAGCGACACAGTTTGTGTTGATTAGGTTAAACACCATTGCTATTCGAGTAAATCGTTGAGTGACGGTAAAGACCCTTTAATTTGATTAATATTGTCTCAATCTGTTTCAGTAAATCGCCAAAGAATGGTACCAATATTTGAAGTTTATGTGGACGATAAGTTGTGTTTTAGGTATAATTCTACAGCATTGGTTAGTAAAATATATGATATAAGCTGTGATAATCCAATACTCGGCTCTAATATCACCATTAAACTACCACAAACAGACACAGCTAGAATACTTAATCTTTGTGAAGTAGAGATTTATGGTAAGAATTTCTTTATCGTTCTACCCTTTTTGATAAATTACGGTTAAGACAGTCTAGCGGTGGTGATAGGATCAGATGTCTAGCGCGCATTAGAACATAGGGCTGCCGACATCGATTCAAGTGTCAAGAGATCGATCCCACACCAGTAAATGTCATCGAGTATGTCGCCTGACTAAGCTCATGAGTTTTCTACAGACTCCCCAGATCACTTCAACAGCTAAAGAACCCTTTGCGTAATAAAATTATGTGTTAGTTCCGAAATTACTTTTTATTTAATGTTGAGTTGATGTTTTAACAATCCAATTACATAATATATACAGAAACAAGGACAATTTTCCACAGGTTTAAAGAATATTATTAAGGTTAGGTGAAAAACTTTCTCTGGGATGTTTTTAAGAACGTGACCGCTAATTGTAGTTTTAAAATGAAAAGTTGGCAGCATATCTTATATTATTAGCAAACGTCGCCCTTTATAATGGCCAATTCGGTCGTGGTTAAATAGTGTTCACTCGACTTTCGTAAACGATTCGAGTTTGAAAAGTCATAACAAAGTTCAGTACTAATCAGTCCTCGGGTATCCAGCCAGCCGTTTCACTCCGAGAGTACACACTTGAAAACTCAGCAGAAAAGTAACATCTTGTTCACACACAAGATTATAATTAATAATGTCTGCCTCTTTACCAACAGAATGTGCGAAGGGATATTTTGATCCGGTAACTGAATGTACGAAATCTTGTAACTGTCGAGAAACATCAGAAGAATGTGATAAGGAGATTGGAAAATGTGTGTCTGGTTGTCCGGATGGGTTTTATGAAGAAGATGGATGCCAAAGAGGTAATACATATAAATGTTGCACTATTCTCTGGGTGGGAGTAGTGGTATTGTTGCCATGAATCCGCAAATACAGATATGATATACTATTTATTTTCTCCTGCACAACTCTAATATGCCACCATTTTTTGTTGTACATATAGAAACCCTGTTACATATAAGCCAACTAACAAGTGGTATCGAGTGTTCATATACGGTACCTTATTGCCAAGAAGCTGAAACCGACCAGAGGTGATTTCATTTCGACATGACTGAATAATTACCACAGATATTCCATTGGCCATTATAAATGATATATATTAATATTGTGATGATTTTTTTTTAGCCTGTCCAAGTGGTAAATTTGGTATTAACTGTAGTGAAACGTGTGGTAATTGTCAGTACCAGTTACCATGTAATAAATCGAGTGGATATTGTCCATCAGAAGTATGTGCAGCACATTGGAAGCCACCTATGTGTGATGGTACGTATATTTTTTTCCAGAATATAAATGATTGAATGAAGTAGGATTTAACGTCCTACTTTTCTGCACCAACCGGAAAAATAAAAACAGACATACGCCATACAGTGTGCTATTGGGGAATATTGCCCGGACAACAATTGTAGGATAATGTGTACACAGGACTTCGATTTTTCATCCCATCCGAAGGACGAGAGTTTGTTCCATTTACAAGGTGGAACCACGCTGGAAAAGTCATTTAATAATATATAGTTTAATAAACTAATCCACCATGTTTCAATAATTAATAGAGTCAGAATATTATTTACTTAATCTTGTATTTTAGAATGTGCTGATAATTTTTGGGATTCCGATTGTAAGAAACAGTGTGGCCATTGTTTAAATGGTGCTGTTTGTGATAAGGAAGACGGTACTTGTCCTAATGGCTGTGATGCTAATTGGCAAGGTGCTAGATGTGATGGTAAGTATAAAGTTGCAGAAATATGTATGTGTGGATTTAAAAACGTAAAGTACAAAACAAATTATTAGCTATGCGAACTTCCCAATACATTAGAGGTGATATGAGGTGTAGCAGAGAGAGTGACAATGTATAAACAATCTTGTCGATCATAAATGTGATTTAGGTTAAAATTGGACATTGCACAACTAAAATTGATACACGTATTAAATATACATTATGCAAGAGCTAAATCTGCCTATTACAGGTCTCTATTTTGGCTTCCAATGTTCTATAAACATTTGTTTACATAACAAGCCTGTAATCAGCTCTCTGGACTATATCCGATGACCAAGATTCAAATGGATTAGAACACCCACGGAATTTAAAAATTTAACGATAAAAGACTCGATTGTCATGTTCGTTGCTACGATAATGTACAATCTTCGCTAGATTTTGTCAAGCCTTTAAACACTCAGAATAACGTAATTTGAATGAATTTTTTTCAATATATCTATATTTAAACTAATTATAGCAAGAATGGACAGATCTTTATCTAAATATTACATAATGCATCTTTAATGAAATAATGTAGCTCTCTTCATTTTGTTCTGCGGCTTCCCGCGGATGGTCTGCGACAAATAAGCATACATCATTACCTACACGACAACTGCTGCCAAGTTGTTTTGTGTTATTTAAATCAACACTAATGTATTTCAGAATGTTTGGAAGGAAAATGGGGATTGGATTGTGCCAGTGATTGTGGTAGCTGTGTTAAGGGTACATGTAGCCAGTTAGATGGTACTTGTCAGTGTCTGCCCCATTGGACGGCGCCATTTTGTCTGGACTGTATTGACGGGTTTTATGATGATAACTGTTCGTCTGTCTGTGGAAAATGTAAAGATGGCGCTGCATGTAATACTACGACTGGTATTTGTCAAGATGGATGTAGAGTTAACTGGTTACCAGAGTTGTGTCAAGGTAAGTTGCAATCTGATTAAAACACAGATCCCATTTCGTTTCGTTTTTTATAGTTCAAAATTTCGTTTTACTTGTTTTTACTACACTAGGATCTGGAAGAGTTTTTATATAACCGACGTTCTTGTTGATGTGAGGGATTAGCCAATGAAACGGTCTGTTGCTGCGAGATCTTGGCGTGCGATTCACGGAACTGTGGGTATCCTACTAGAAACACCAATCACCAATCAAATTCTTAAACCTAGCCCTAATGCTTACCCTAACGTTATTTACATCTCAGCGACCATGACGAAAATTAAGCTGGCCTTAACAAATAGATTTATTCCTACAACTAGTCAGATCTTCATGTAGTAGAGGTCATCGAAAGTATAAAAAAAGCGAAATACATCTTAAATCAGTTGTATTGACTGTTATATATACTTTAAACGCATATAACCGTAGAATGTATTTATCATTTTAGAATGTGTTGATGGTTTGTTTGGTGAGTCTTGTTCTACGCAGTGTAAATGTCGAACAAATAGTGAAATCTGTAATAAAAATACAGGCTATTGTACCAGTGGCTGTGCTGATGGACAAAAACCTCCCAACTGTATCGAAGGTAAGAAGTGTCTTTACTGCATCATCCCACGTGATGTCAAACAATAAATATTATATTTCACCAAATTATAGAAACTCAAAGTAAGGAAAGGTCGTTAAACTACTAAAAAAAAAAAATTAAGATTATAGTCAAAGCCCGTCAAATCGTATATGTATAGTCAAAACACGTCAAATTGAATATGCATAGGCAATTCACGTCAAATTGAATAATCATAGTCAAGAGATAGTCAAAGCACAAAATTAAATCAAATATGTATAGTCAAATCACGTCAGATCAAAATATGTATAGTCAAATCACGTCAAATCGAATATGCATAGTCAAATCACGTCAAACTGAATCGGACATGTATAGTCAAATCGCGTCAAATTGAATATGTATAGTTAAATCAAAGCAATTATGTTACTTAATGTCTGTATGGTCTCTTGTTTATAACTGACATTTTTATTTATTATGTTTTTATTGTCCGTTTTTTGTAGAATGTGATAATGGTAAATTTGGTACTAATTGTAGTTCACATTGTGGACATTGTAAAGGTGGACAACCGTGTGATAAAGTAACAGGTGTTTGTGTCAATGGATGCGAACCTAATTTTAATGGTAAAACGTGTGTCGGTAAGTAAAATATGACAATAATAAAGCTATAGGATATTCTATCTATTAACACAACGTGGGCATATTGTCTTCTTCTTGTGGTGACTTTACGTCCGCTTCCACCGAGGGTAGTTTCGCAGACAAATGTTTGTTAAGAAACTTGTCTGGCGATCCAGTCATGGATGAGAGGCTTGTCCGGCATAGACGTGTATTGTCGTCACCTACAACCTTGGTCCGTCGAGTTCTGCACAGATATTTCAAGTTTACGGAGATTGTTCTTTGGGACATTAGGAAGAACCTTATCGAAATTCAGAATTTCATGTGCCCTTTAAATTTATGTGATAGAAAACAGAGGCAGAGAGAGACAGAGAAATGGGGTTTAACGTCCACTCGACACAAACTTAGTCATTTCGGGACTAAGACATGGTTCAGTCTTATTTCAACAGTTCGCTTGCGCGTAGTAGTCTTTATCAGTGGGAGGAAACCGGAGGACCCGGAGAAAACCCACGAGGTTAGAAAACGTACAACCAGGGAATCGAAACCACGCCTGGTGACTCAATGACAGACCTTATGATACAGCGTGCACGTGCTAACCATTCGGCCACCCCACCCCACCCCCGATAGAAAACAGGGATATTATAATGTAAGGATGGTATATAATAATAATAATCTGTTTCATCTTGTAGAATGTAAGGATGGTATGTATGGTAGAGTTTGTAATAATAAATGTGGTAAATGTAAGGATAATGCTATATGTGATAAGAAAACTGGTAACTGTCCTAAAGGATGTGTAATTGGTATGAAAGAGGGACTATGTTCTGAAGGTAAACAACTTATTGCGTCAGCTTTTTTTTTACTAAAGAAGATGCACGTAATTTATTCTCAATTGTAGAAATAAAAAGTCTTCCTTAAGTCATCAATCAATATTTCCATGTGTATTTGAAATAAAATTCAAACAGCAATCGTACCGAAAAGTGTAATAGTGGTCATTTCACTATAATAGTGGGTATTTTAATGTAATAGTGGGTGTTGGACTGTAATAGTGGGCATTTCACTGCAATAGGGATTTCACTGTAATAGTGAGTATTTCACTGTAACAGGGGGTATTTTACTGCAATAGAGTAATAGTGAGCATTTCACTGTAATAGTGTTGGGTTTTTTTACTGTAATAGAGCCTTTTTTACTGTAAGCGTGGAGATTGCACTGTAATTGAGGCCTTTTCACTGTAATAGTGGCTAGTGGATATTTCACTGTCATAGCGGGTATTCGCATTTGTACGTACTCTATATTTGTATACCGTCCAAGCCGAGTTCTCTAATATTTCCTAAAAAAATACCATTTAATCTTGAAATAAATTGTTGGTATGACGTTAAGCACCGGTATATTTTACAATAATTACAGCTTGTGATGATGGTACACATGGAGAAGGATGTAAGTTAACCTGTGGTAACTGTGCTGGTAATGATGCTTGTGATAAATCTACTGGAGCATGTCCTCAAGCTTGTCAAGATGGTTGGGAGACTATGTATTGTAATAAACGTAAGTATTTCGTGTGTAATAAATACATATAAAGTAAAACCTAGAAACCATTTTTTTTCTGAGGTGGGGAGATGGGGGTTCTTGCATTTGACGATTACCAATAAATTGTAAAAAATACGTGGCAACGAATTTTCCTTTTTTCCTTGCAGAACAACCCAAATCGTCCATGATGTTTGTTGCTGTTGGTATTGCTGCTGCTATATTATTATTATTTATAATATTAATCATCGTCTTCCTAGTTCGAAGGTAAGTTGTATGATACGAAATATTAAATCCACGACATATTTTGTGGTTCTTTTTTAATATAAATGATTCCCCGGTTGTACGTGACAAGGAGTAGGGTCGCCTGTCCAACCTCCGGTTTCCTTCCACTGCTAAAGACCCCTACGCGCAAGCGAATTATTGGAATAAAATTAAACCGTGTGTTAGTCCCGAAATGACCTAGTTTGTGTCGATTAGACGTTAAACTCCATTTCTCTCCCCCTCTCTTGTCTTTTTTGGTCTCGTAAGTAGTTCAATGATTTTGTTGGGTAAGTACATAACAGGATAACTATAAGATTTCTATCATTCAGATTCAAAGTACGATATTATTTGTTCGGCATTCACATTTGTCAATTATTGAAGATTTTTAAATTTGTTTCAGGCGTTCAGCAGAAAAAGAAAGTCGATTACGTCTACGAGATGACTTTCATAATAACACGATCGGTCGGGAAATTACAGGATTAGAAAACCGAGCTGCAGGTAAATATTAAAACTGTATTTTTTGAACGTGTACATTACGCAATTTAACTTTTGAAAATAAAACCAACCCATTACAAAATATTTATTGAAGAAGACGCCGATGTTCTCCGCTGATGCAAATCCATGAATGTTGCTGTTCCGTTCAAAATTTGAGACCAAAAGAAAATATATTTGATATTTGTGTTTGATAATACTGATGATGCTATATAATATGTTATGTTTTAGTCGTTCATTGTAACGGGTGATAGAATGTGTTGTGTACTTATTGAGAACTGTATTAGTGGGGCATATAACTGTAACAGTCTTCCCCTGGAACAAACACTAAAATTTGCATGGTTGTCCGTTTAGATCATTTAGTAAGAAAATCTCGTTAGCCATTTGAATTTTCAAAATGGTCGTCATTTCCAAGATGGTTGCCATTTTCGGTTTTTATTTCACATAATTTTCCCAAACCTACCGATTGAGATGGTTTTGATATGTATCCCTATAATTTGAACCACTTGAAAGTCGAATATTAGATATAACGGTTGCTGCTGGCGATGATATGTTATGAATTACCTTTTAGTTTGAACTTAGTTGTATATCTAGTTGGTGATGATTATTTATTATGTTTTCAGTATTTAATGTTAGCCCAGTATAAGATCTAGTTGTTAATACTGATGATTATGTATTATGTTTTCAGTATTTAATGTGAACCCAGTATTGGATTTAAAGGATGAGTTTGATGATACAGATGATGATAATAACTATGAGGAAGAAAGGGGAACCGTTGATATGGATAATGTTTATGTAAACAATGTAAACAAGGCAATTGATGTTAGTGATCTTAGATATACAATAGAGAGGAAAACAACAAAAGATGAATTTTCAAGCGAATTTCAGGTAAATGAACAGTTTAATATCCAAATAAAAACAAATAAAAGAATGAACTTCATTTTGCCATTCGTATATGTGTTGCTTTAAAGTTTTCCTTGTAACTCAATGAATCCTTTGATAATCTAATATTACAACATTCGAGTTATGCAACTTGTATTCTTGTAGTAGGATTTGTTCAGATAATGAACGCGTATATATTCGAGACTGTCATTGGGAGCTGTAAAGTGAACATATATAATCTTTTCTTTAATTAGATGTTATATAATTTTTTCTTTAATTAGATGTTGCCAAAGGGTTTAACTAAAAAACATGATGTGGGTACCAGGCCTGCTAATAAAAAGAAGAATCGGTTCCTGGCAATTTATCCATGTAGGTATAAAATACAGGTATTATATATATAATTTCAGTAGCAGTATCATGTTAATAGTAATTATCTGAGAGAAACAATCAGCCATCACTTTTCGGTGAAGCGATTAGTCAAGTACATGTACTGAACATCTAGTAAGAGTTTAGTATGAAATTAATAATATTTTACTCGAGACCGTTAGAACTGTTCCTGGTTGTGAGGAATGCCTCCAGGGTTAAAGTTTAAGGTTCATATTGTTTGTTTTTTTTATTTTAGATGATGATACACGAGTAAAATTACCTACTCTAACAGGTGATGAAACATCAACATATATCAACGCTAATTACATACAGGTAACAACATACTATCAGTCATCTTTTAATCGGTTCATCTACAGGAATCTTAGAATATTATTTGTAACGAACCATCAAAACACTTCATTGGTAGTCTACTTGTTGCATGACCAGTTCCAAATACCATTCCAATCTGTCTGTTTCTTCTTTTCAAAGACAAGTCCAAGAAAAGTACGCTCTTGGCGCGTAAAGGCATCATGATTGTACTCTTGGCTTTGATTAAAAAGTCAATCAAGTTTCTGAATAATCAAAGCATTTAGAGAAAATCATGAAATTTTCTGTTCACCTGGTCTTGATTGGAAGGCTGATCTGTAGTAAATCAACCACATTCTGCGTAGTGGCGTAAACAGCCAAAATATAACATGGAACGAAATATTGGTATAATTTCAATTAGACGGATCCATTATTTTTATTTTTAGGGTTACAAACAGCAAAGAAAATATATAGCAACACAAGGTAAGAAACACTATTATAAGGCACTTATAGACTTTAGATATTAATTTATTAAAACAGAAATCGGTGTCGATTGTATATTAATCTTTCAAAAATATACGAGATCTTTACATTTTCAGGATGTCTGCCACATACTATTAATGATTTTTGGAGGATGATGTGGGATGTGAAAGCCCGACGAATCGTTATGTTGACGAGTTTAGCTGAAGGTGGAAAGGTAATATGATTATAAAACAAATTGTCGGATACTTAGCCGGGGGGTTGGATGGCTGAATGGTTAGCGTGCGCGCGCTGTATCATAAAGTCTGTCATTGAGTCGACTGGCGTGGTTTCGAATCCCAGGTTGTACGTGACAAGGAGTAGGGTCGCCTGTCCAACCTCGTGGGTTTTCTCCGGGTCCTCCGGTTTCCTCCCACTTCTAAAGACCCCTACGCGCAAGCGAATTATTGAAATAAAATTAAACCATATGTTAGTCCCGAAATGACCTAGTTTGTGTCGAGTGGACGTTAAACACCATTTCTCTCTCTCTCTCTCTGGACACTTAGCCAATCTTTATGAGACGTAAATGTCAATATTTGTGTAAAAACTATACCAAAGGATTGGGTGGAACATTTATTATATACACCCATCTTGTTTTATTCATTAACGTAGCAAGGGTAAAGCGTGGGTCTTCAGATTGTAACTGGTCAACTTTGGGAAAAATCCCGTAAAATAATTTATGTACTATTTTAAACATAAAATTACAAGAAATGATAGCAATGAAACAAAGAATGTAATTATATCGAAGACATTGGGTGATCTGACTTGTGTTTTCTTGTATTTTTAGATTAAATGTAGTCATTATTGGCCAGATTTAGATAAAAAGGTTTTATTTAACACCTACCAGATCCACAATAAACAAGAGATCAGACGATCAGACTATACAATTAGAATATTTGAAATGACAGAAAGACAGGTAAGTTGATATTGATTTAGGGAAATGAAATGAAATGGGGTTTAACATGTTAATTTTCTACATTGACTGGGCTAATGAGGACGGCATAATATGCGCCATGTAGTGCACTATGGGAGAAATTAATGTTGCCTGGGCAGCCGCGCTATGAGAGAATTGTTGCCTGGGCAGCCCCGCTATTTTGAATTCTAACTGTCATGGGTTCCTTTAGTTTAGATGTGGCCTCGGTTTTTGGGTCGATCCGAACGACAAGGCGCTCTTCTTAGAATACTATGAAGTAATGTATCATAGTATATTATAATCTGTATAATGATAAATTTTGTTCTATTTTTATTGTAGAGTGGAGACCAGAGAGAAATATTACAATTTCATTTTACCTCGTGGCCAGATCATGGTGTCCCATCGGTTCCTGCTTTACTCTATTTTTATAGATTAGTCAAATTGGCCGCCACTGAAGACGAGGGACCACTTGTGACGCATTGTAGGTAAGTGTTGGATGAAATGAATGAGATTTATGAAAGATGTCGGCATGTATATAAATTCAATATGATTCTTGTTTTTTGTTATTTTAGACTATTACTAATATAATTTTCTTTACATCATGCTACATGATTTAAACAATATATTCTTCAATAACTTTTACAGAATCTATGATAAATATAGGATGCTATAACAAGCTTTATCAGCTTATATAAAACCGCCCCTCATACAACATAAACTCAAAAGGCACATCGTAATTTTAATATTTAAGAATTTTTTGTATCTGTTCTATTCATTTTATTGTTTGTTTTATTTTAGTGCTGGTGTGGGAAGAACTGGGACGTTTTTAGGTTTGGATGCTATGTTAGAGCAAGCCAGTGTTGAAAATAAAATAAATGTATTTAAATATGTAACTGCCATGAGAGAAGACCGAGTTAACATGGTACAAACTAAGGTAGAATATATAATTTTAATATGTTTAAATAGTTTTGCTAGGTTTTAGTTACCATTTGTATTATTATACATTATATTTATACCACATATTTGACTAACTTATACTCAATAATATGAGTACTCTTTATTTAAACCACATATTTGACTTATTTTGCTCCATATGTACACTCTGAGAGAGAGAGAAATGGGGTTTAACGTCCACTCGACACAAACTAGGTCATTTCAATAATTCGCTTGCACATAGGGGTCTTTAGCAGTGGGCGGAAACCGGAGGACCCAGAGAAAACCCACGAGGTTATACACTTTAATTTTATACCACATATTTGACTTCTATACTCTATATGTATCTTCTATATTTAACAAATGTTTTCTCTATATATATATTCAAAATAAGTATGTATACTCTCTATTTTATACTTCATATTTGACTTATTTACACGTCATTTATTATGTGATAATTATATTTCAGTGTCAATATATATTTTTACATCATGTTTTGTACGAAGCTTTGATCAGTAAAAACACCTTCTATACCACTACAAGATTTGAAGAAGTTTTCAGTAAAGGCGTGGCACTGGGGTCAGATCTAGAAAAACAACTCAAGAAAGAACATCAGGTTGGTAACTTTAGCAAAGTCCACACTCAGACCACTCGATTAAAGCACAAATCCTAGTCCAGATTTTCTATAGTAGTTCTTTACCAACTTAGGTTTGGTTGCAGTTGAGCTCAAGGGAATATGTAGCCGTAATCAGAATCATCTACAACGATTTCGGGGTTGAACATCTAACGTAAAATAGGAAATATTGATGTACCTTAAGGAGTTGTCCTAGGACCTTATGATACGCCACATACTGGCAGATTTTTGTACTACTTTCGTGATACCAGATATCCTAATTCCTTACATTTATGTATACATATTATATACGCTATCATCTTTCAATATCCCAAACAGAACTAAGCACTATGGCAACCACTCTTTCCGTATATAACCAACTATATCACTTCAAATAGCCTCCCTTAAAATTTTCTTGTAGACGATGGGCCGGAAAATAATGAGACATTAGTTTATATTCTGTTTTTTATTGCAGAATTTATTGGCTTTGCGTCAGCATTTATCTCCCGAAGAAACAAAAGCAGCCTTGGCACCAGAGAATATTATCAAAAATAGATGGGCAGATAGATACCTACCAGGTAATTTTAATATATATTTTTAATGAAATAAATTGACATTTGAAGAGGTGTTCTCACTTTTTATAAATAATCTTAGACCAAACGTATTATGTTATTCAAAGCATTGACCCACTTTGAGTAAGTTATTTTGAACGACCCTATGTTAAACTCCTTGCAAAAACAGTACCAACCCCATTCGTAAATTGAGGATACAACACCTTAGTATCAGCAATGGATCTCCCAGATTTTGCCTCTTTAAGCTGCAGTTGCCTCTATCATATAGAATGTTCGTTAAATGTAATTGAATTAATGATTCAAAAGCAGAATCAAACTTTAACTTTTTTAACTCTGTAAATTAGAAGTTTTCTACAAATAGTAACCAGGGTCTTGCAAAAATCAACCATTACTACTTATATCCAATAAGCCACGGCATTTTATTTTACAGCTGACGAATATAGAGTATTTTTAACAACACCAGTGAAAGGAACCACAAGTTACATTAATGCTGTATCTTTACCGGTATGTACATTAACCTCCTGTCTAATATCTTCATAGTAGACTATTTCTAGTACAGGATTGATTTGATTAAGATTTTTGTCCGGTAGAGACAGATAAATTGTTGGGCTCAAACTAACCAAAATATATTGTTAACAAACCGTTGAATTGTTATATCTTTTCTGTTGTTTTGCTGATACGTTTCAATGTTTTTAAATGTATTCTGATAATCTCCATTGCTGACAATTTTCTTGTTTCATATGTTTGGATATACTCGGTAGACTTGTTCCTTAAATCAAACTGTCAATTTCGTTTCGTTTTATTTTTGATTATGTACAATTTTGTGTAAAAAATCTGAAAATAAAGGAAACGAAACTGTAATCCAAATTTGATTACACAGGGCTTAAATCGTATAATATGTGTATGTTATTTTTGTATATACCAGTCTATCGCAGAAGCGGGTGGTTATATAACAACACAGATGCCATTAGAGGAGACAGTTGTAGATTTCTGGAGAATGATTTATGGTATGGATGTACAGTCTATTGTTTCTGCTGATCCCTCGGTTGCTCAAAACGGATTACCGGTATGTATATTTACACAGGCTAGACAAATACATTCTGATTAAAACACAGATCCTACATGTATGTGTGAAATAGCTTTATTTAACTTCCGGTTCCACCGAATGATATCGCCATCAAGCCCTTCTACATATTTCGTTTCATTTCTTTTATAATTCGAAGTTTACTAGTTTTCAGAAATTGAGTTTATGCATTGTCGCTTTAAATCGTATAATATTTGATATGCCAATGAATTTGACATTGTCATAACAATTGAACTTTACAGTTATGCTTACCTTCGAAGCAAAGATGTCCGCGTGTTGTCCCATCACCCCTAAGTATTCCAATTCCTATAGGTTCACTCAAACAATAGCTATTGTCTGGACTGCTTCCATTGCATCCTCTGCATTGACAGAATTTATGACAAATTTCCGAACTTGTTAACAGTGAATTAAAACTGATTTTATCAACTTTGCATGCAGGATTTTGGTGTCTACTGGCCCGAAGAGAATGAAGAATTATTGGTTTCGCCATTTAAAATACGATGTACATCTATTAGTATCTGTGCTGAAGATGTTCTCGAATATAATTTGTGTTTTAAATTACAAACCAAGGTGAGTACATAAACATCTTGTTGTAGGTCACATTTCAAATCTAAGACTTATCCAAAACTAGTGTTGCAAACCCAATCGTTGTCTTTCGGGGTTGTTCTGTAAGCATTGTGTTACTGGGGTACCCTCTTACTGTAGACGTCCACTGACCTAGTGCCCGAAGTATTAGTATCCAGCTTCCAATATTCGCTGTACCAGTACAGTACTGTCAGCTACATTTCTGATTCATTAAGACTCGTGTCTAGATCTTCGTTTGATCACAGACAACATACTTTCCATTTCCTTCTTTACTTCTGAAAACCAATTCCAAATTACCTTCCTTCAAAAGTTATCTATGATTCTTTTGCAGAGTGATCTATCAGAAGAAAAGTTTGTAAAATTATTTGTATTGAACTGTTGGCCTAAAGATACACTGGTACCCAGAGCTGTATCGCCTATATTATCTGTGTTGGAGACAGTCAATCAAAGACAAACCAACTTTCATAATCCTATTGTCTTCCAGTGCTTGTAAGTAATTATACATTATTTTCTTATTTTCTAAATATACTAAAGCTGTGTGAGACAACTATTGATTTAATATTTGTGGTCGCTGATGATATATTAATTTGATAATCATTTCGATGTAAACCGTTGTTGCGACTTGCTAGTTTTCTGTGATCTGCCATAAAAGGGAGTAACCGAAAAAGCACGGGGAAGTTTTCATTAGCTAAATTGAATTGGGAAAACCCATGATCTGGGTATTAAACAATCCTTTATGTAGATTGAAGCTGGTTTATACAATAACTTTACACAATTATTATAACTAATAATGTGGTATCAAACTAATTGTACATTTATGTGAATTTCTATATACAAGGAATGGTATATCTAGAAGTGGTATGTTATCAGCAGCATCTTTAATAATCTCCAGATTAAAGATGGATAAAGAAATTGACATTTTTTCTACGATACGACAAATACAAATTATGATGCCAGAAGCTATTTCAACTTATGTAAGTAATCTCGTCTCAGTTTTTACGCTGTAAACATTAAGGGCCATTGAACCATTAGTTGAGTAGTTATTGCCCTTGTCAGCTTATCCTCGTGAAAAGAAAAGAAATCTGTAGCCAGTTGTTCATCTGTTAATTAATTTTATGCTCTTCGAAATAGTCTTTTTGCAACGAACAATTCCCCATAGCCGAGTTATTGCCCTTGTTCAGCTATACATATTTTTGACACTGTCACTTCCGCCGTTTATAGTCCTGTCCGATATCTATAGAACAGAGTTCACTATACTGAGTTGATTTTTTTTTAACATTTGACCCTTTTATTGTAAGGAAAAAACCCAATCTAAATTCATAATTTTCTGATCTGCACAGGTTTCACCCCTTTAAGTTTTTATATTTAAACGTGGGTGAGCAGGAAATATTTAGGAAAGTAGGCTGCATTGCCGTGTATTCCCTATCGAATGACTTTATTAGTTTGAAGTTTGCGATTTTCAATGTGATTTATATGAAAACATACGTATATTGACGTTGTTTTTCTTTGTTTTTCAGGAACAGTACAAGTTTTGTTATACAATTGCAACCAGATGTTTAGACAGTATGAAGGTTTACAGTAATCTTTGATTTGATTTTATATAAAAAATAATTATTCACCAGCATAATATGTGATATTTTGTCTTTCCAATTTAAAGATGCACTCCCACGAATTTATTTATCCGATGGTTATTTCTAATAAAAGTATGGCTTCGTTTAATAAAGTAGAAACACTCAATCTTACTAGAAAATTACTGGATTCACTGAAAAGCACCGTGGGACTAAAATGTAAGGTGTGACTAACTGGCAGTCAGTCTGCTCGAGCGGCATAAGGGCTGCTTTGTATATGTTGATCTAATGGCTAGCGATTGTGAGAACAGTGAGATACTTAAACGTCCAGTTGACTCTGCGATTAACAATGAGAAAGAAAGTTGGCAGATTATAATCCAAGAATTTACTTCGACTACGAGATTTATGGTGAAGGAACAAGAAAAATACCATAAAGTCACGTGGCAAACAAGGCTGCTTAAAATATATTGTTGCGGCATATTGTAGTTTTGTTGCGATTAAAATGTTCTGAGAGTGATCTGTAGCACACTTTTGATGTATAAATTAGATTGAATTTTCTTTTAGCCTTAATAGATTATCAAATCACACAGTTTGTTTGCGGGTAGGCATCTTTAATAAAACATTTTTTGAACTAAAATTGTTAGAAAAAGAATAATTCCGAAGAAAAAAGAATGGAAACAAATATATTTGAAAAAATGGAAAAGATTTTCTTGTCTTGCTATATAAGTTTAAAATAAAATAGCATTCAAAAGTTTTTGAAATGATTTGAAAATATTTTTAAGACTCTCTTAAAATAAAATAGCATTCAGAAGTTTTTGAAATGATTTGAAAATATTTTTAAGACGCGATAAAACTCTCATAGAATTGGAATCTTGAAAGACAACTAATAAGAAGTAAAATTACTGATCGGTGTTTATATGGTCTATCAGTTCTCTTATATTCTTTAACTTTACCTATTAAATGAATAGACTATTTAAATCAATTTGGGATTTTTAAAGGCAAGTATGGAGTTACATATTAGTAGGTCTGTCGAAACAGATCAACGTCAATAAAACAAACTTGATATCAGACCAGTGGCGGATTACCCGAATTTGTAAGCAACTGCAATCATTATATAAACTTGAGTAGAAAATAAATTTAATTAAAATATATTTAAGTAAATTTATTTATAGTATATTTTGATTTGATAATTGTATTTGTGCTTGTACGATATTATATCATTTGAAATGAATTAAATCAGCTCGGCAGGGTTGGGCATTGTTGAACATTGAAGGTGGACTGAAGTTTATTATTTGACATAAATTACTAACCATTAAGCATTCACTGATTTGAGATAGTGCTGTTCTATTATATAACGTCTATATTCAAATCAATAAATAATCAATAATATTTTCTATATGATTGAAATTCAATATAGTCTCAACTGACTTTTGGGAGAGGGTCGGTGGGCATGCAGTTGCCCCATGCGTCTTAATCCGGCACTATACAGACTATAACTCAGTTACAAATACTTCTATTTGTTTATAGGTTTATTTTATATACAAATAATTCTTCCATTCTTAATTTACATTAAATTATTGTTTCAAAACGAATTATTAAAGGAAAAATGCCCCTACATTTCTTTCATCCTGATATTTTTCTTATTATTTATCATATTTGTATTTAATGAAAATGTATAATATATTCTATATTTGTATATTATATTTGTAGATATTGGCCTATATTATTTAAAGAGTCTTGCTTGTATTATAGTGTAAATTATTACCCGCGAATGTAAATAAACCTATTCATTATAATATAATTTGTCTTGAATTTTGTGTTTTTTTTGCTCCAGAAAGGAAATGTTGTTGTAAAGCTTATGGGTATATGTACTCGGTGCCACTAATATATGTTTCAGAACACTCTCTCCCATCTCTTCTTAGTTGTATTCATAAGTAGCAAAAAGTTTTATTGATATTTTTAAAAGAGGATCAATTTACCTTAACGGTGTTCCTTGACGATCCTCGTCCTTCAAAAAAGTGGGAGCATCAAATGACACTATCTCATTAGAGGGATCCAAAATTGGTGTTTATTTGCATTCTAAATCTGCAAGTTATCGTACATATTTAATAAACCTGGAAATTTTCAACACATCTTAATTCCTGATGATCAGTTTAATAAAGAGTCTAGCTTAAAGATAATGAGCGACATGGTGTTACATGATCTGATCTGTAAGAGCCCTGCTGGTTGGTAGAATTACCGATATATCCAGAAGAAAGATCCAGCTGATTGGCTAAACCTGATTACAGTAAGAGTATCTAAATGATGTGTTAAAATGAACCCCTACTCTGTTTTAACAAAGCGATAAGAGGATTATAGATCTTGAATTAACTTCTGATGTCTAAATCAATACTTTATCTGAATATAGAATGTCATAATATCATGAATTTCTGGAACGACACCTAACAAAATGCAACTCTTTAAAGCTACAATTTCATATTTTTAAAATTTATTAAAATAAAGCCTTAAAATAGATGGTATCCATAAACCGTCCTACCTTGTTAAAGAATAATCCTATTAATCCTATAATTCACTATTGCCAGCTGAGAAATTGGCAAAAACATCATTTTCAACTTCAAATTCCAACGTTTGAAGGTAGCTAATGCATGGAGACAATAGGAAAACATGGGAGGTAATTGTGTTATTATTTCCTGTGTCGATGATTTTTAAGGGTGGGAAATAGTGCCCATGGTCGTATAATAGTGAGTTGATAACCTATTGAGCAAAAGACATAGAAATAATTATGTTTTGACTTTCTTACAAAATATGAAATTCTCGCTTTAAGTATATCATTTTCAAGCATATGGAATTGTGCGTGGTTAAATAGTTCCAAATAACAACTTTCAATTATTCGAAACGTCATAATAACCTTTTCTGGTTTGGAACTATAAGATATCAATCCAGATCAGTGACGTATAGTGAACTGCGGACTCCTGGAATTGGCATATGTAGCTTTCCCCTCTTCTTCTTAGTTATTTAACGTCTATTTCCATAAAAGTAATATCCCATTAAGATCGAAAGTTTGAATGATTTCTTTTAAATCATTTTAATAGAGAACCTAAACACAGTTGTCAAATTTGGATTATTTTATTTTTTTTATAGATTAAACAATTGTCATGAAAAGTAACCAAAATTGCTCGGATCAAAATGGCCAAACCAAGGCATCAATGGGGTATGAACTTATAGGCTTTTGTTTACCTTCATTAAAATGAACCAGATTTATATAACTTTCTCTCCGGTAATTTAAATTTTACGATTTTGGGATCATCTATGATAATTCATTATAATCATAGTTGTGAATGTTGCATGAGTCTTGCTAGCATTATAGTTGACCTTCAGATGAGATGAAATATTCCATATCAAGTTAGGTTATACTATTTATTATTCACATACCAAACGGTTTAATCAATAAACTAAATGATCTTTCTGAACACTAAAATTATTACGCTACAGTAGTTTGGTTATGACAAATCTCCTAAATACTGCTAAACAATCACGACATTACAACTGTATGATTATTATAGTATACATATATAACGTATTAATAATTACAAATATCATAGTCTGTAATAACACTTGATTAATCTCTGTTAACAATACATGTTTATCTTGATTAAAGATAATCTATAATCTTTTGTATACTTTTATTTAGGATAATATAAAATAGACAATCACAGATAAATCTAATTTTTATTATAGATAATAAGGACACGTCATTTACTTACAATTCTTGAATGCATGATTAGGAATGTTGAATCACGGGGATAAAATTTAGAAATATGTTATAATTCAGAGGACGAACCTCTGGAGCCCAACTTGGGACATGTTTAGTGGACCCTATACATTTGTCTGTCAAGTCTGTTTCAGTGAAATGAAGACTGCAGTAGATTATCTAAACCCAAGCCCTTTTGGACGCCGGACTCAATTCGGGGCAATTGGTCCATTTTGCTTACAGTGGACCCTGCTTCAAGGAGGAGCAGACATTTCAAAAGACTGTCTTTTAATGGAGCTAAACCTCTACCTCAATATTTTCCATAATATTCCAAATTAAAAACACAAATTAGGATTAAATATTGGTCCATTTAATCCATATGGATGTTGTTATGTTGGGATGCAATGTAGAATCCTAATATCCAATATTTAAGACACAATGAACATTTTAAAATCCGTACACGATTCGTGTAGTCTATCGTTTCGGGCGCAAAGGAATGAACAAAGTAAAACATATCCTACATGACAACGCGGGAGTAAATAGTAATGGCTGATTTACAAACGATAAAATAATAATAAAAAGGTGTGAAGAATGGGCAAATAGGTGTAAACGATTGGCGTTCAATTTGGACTGTTCGCGTATTTCACCGAACATAATTGATTAGAAATTACAATAATTTATTTAAAAATTGTATATAAATCACTTTATATGCACTCATATTACATTTATATGGGCTTTTAGAACCATTTATGGTTCCAAAGAATAGAGCCATACGCCCTTTAATAATTCGTTTCGTTTTAAATTCGTTTAATTTTTAATGATTTCTTCTCCCACAGTTCAGAATTTGAATAAAGACCTCGACAAACCACATAAGTGCATTAATGACTTGTCTTTTCCACACACTAGACCTAAATCCACCGACTAAATTGAGGCATTAAGCCATTTCGATCTGCTTTTGGCTGAAGATTTTGCTGAGTGACTTCCTGGTTGTCTTTGAGATTCGTTGGAGTAAGTTTCAAACATTCTAAAATTATTTTTTTACTTGTCATTCAGTTCATAATATCAACCACTGGTTTATGATACCACCATGTCAAATTTACCACTGAAACTGGCCATACCATGACATATTTCCGTTCAGGACATGGAAAGTTGCGACATTTTGTTTTCTTGTTTCCTTTTGTAGAGATTTATGATAATAATCTCACTTAATATATTATGCTCGTATTCATTTTTAATTGATCTGTTACCTCAAAATAAAACTGATAGACTCAACAAACTGTGACCTAGGGAAAAAAACAGTAAACAAAACTAAATGAAAATCACGTTTATGAATTCGATTAAAATAAACCAACACAAGGAATGTCTAAACAGCGTACGTTAATTTTGTTATTTTGTTGTTGTTGATTTGTCTTGGATCGAGGGGTGGGAGTAAATAAATAGGAAAATCGACATTATATGACACACCAATTTCAAAATTTCTGAAAACAAAACTTCAAAAACTACCGTTTCCTACTTGAACTATGTAACTTTCGAAAACATGCTAATGTTTTACAATATATCATTATTATATAATTTCTCTGTTCAAAAGAAAGAAACCCAACGATTACAGAAATTAATTGATCTCGGCTTTAACGATCCGATTTCATCATGTGTGAACATTATCTTTTAAATAAACCATTTTTCGAGGTTAAAAAAAATATCTTGTTGTGTCGATATTCTATACACAGAGACAATTTCTGGATAAAAGGGACTAAGGATCACCAAATTAAGCCGATCACAAGAGGGTCTCGCGCCAGGGAGCATCACTAACACACCTGAGAGTGAAACCGGCTAATTATTGGAGCTGGATCACCCCCGTCGCGCGGGGTCTTGCTTTATTGGCCAACAGAAAGCGCTACCTGGGGAGTAAGATCAAATACTAGGTTTTTACACCTCATAGCTTAAATACAATCAATTCATAGAGATTAGTTAAAGATCTTCTCTTATTTGTAATGAAGAAGAATTAGGAAGGGGTTGTTTCTTTTATTAATATCTGCGACTACAAGATTTGATCAGTCGAAACTTAGGAAGCGTAGGGAACAGTGTCTGTGGTGCCGACTGCTGTCAACAGTTTTAAAACAATATTCTGTTTGTGAAATTAATTGGTGTCAGGGGACTTTGCAACTTATATCAAGTGTTACACTTTTTGTCAAGACAAACTTTCTGGGTCATCGACAGTTCAGACGTTAACTAAAAGTGTTCCAAAGATTCTATGCATGATTGTCTTTTAAATATATATTTACAAACCAGTGTTGAGAACCGCGAATTACAAGAAAACATATAATTTGTTTGAGAAAAATTGTCAGAAAACAACAAAATGGGAATTTCAAACAGTTAAACTGGACAAAAATTGGAAAATACAAAGCTGTTCAATTTTGTACTAAAATTGTTGAAAAACAATTGTAATTTAATAAGAAAATGACGGAATCAAATTTAGTTATATCACGCCTGCCATCTACGTCTGATCTGGAAGCATCGAGACATTCTGATTCAGAAGAAGAAGAATTAATTGTTGATGATATCGACGAGGAGGAGGAGGAAGTCGACGGCGAGGATTACGAATCAAAATCAGAAGGTAACATTTTAAATCGAATAAAAGCACTAACTGATTAAATACGCAAAAGACCTGGGCTAATTGAACGTACATGAAAAGTTTTAAATTCATCCAAATATTGGAATTCTTTGATAGTTTTAAAATTACACTGAAGCTTTTAATAAAGAATCTAAACTAAACAATTTTAATCATTTTTAAAGTTGTTCATAATTATGATAAATAATGTAAATTAATTTCTAATAAACTTATAATAAACAATATATAAATAATGAATTATATATATTAAACAGAAGCAAAAACAATCATGTTTAAAGTTTTTCATAATAAGAATCCGATATAAGAGTAGGCCGTAGTGCCGCTGTCCGGGCAAAATTTCCCCCATGGCACACTGTATGGCGTATGCCCGTCTTCATTAGCCCAGGACGTTAAACCCCATTTCATTTCATTTCTTTTTTTCTTTTCGATTTCTCAAGATTAAAAATATTTAATTCCATTTTGTTGGTTTTGTTTGTTTATTGGGGATTATATTGATTTATCTTGGGTAATGGATGTGTGGTTATCCTATAAAGGATGAAAAGTACAATCGATAAATATTTTTGCAATTTATACATACCTCAAATTATTAATAAACATAACGGTTGTTCTTTTAGGAGCGCTGGGGAGGGTGGGGTTTAAGGATAAAATATTAAAAAATATAACTGATAAACACATAATTTGGAATTAAACATTATGCATTGTTTGTAAATATTTAAATATATTTTATTTCAGATAGTATCGGTGATTTAAGTACAAGTTTTGACAGAAATAGTAAAAAACAGAGAAGAAATCGAACGACATTTTCTGCGGATCAATTAAGAGAATTGGAGACAGTATTTCAACATACGCATTATCCAGATTGTACATTACGAGAACATATTGCAGATAAAGTTGATTTAACAGAAGCCCGAGTTCAGGTATTTTCAATTACACATTCCCTTTTTAATAATTGATAAAGAACTTAATTATTTACTAACAAATATTTAATTTTGTGACATCCATGCGTTTCCTAAAAGAACCAACGCTTTCCCCCAAAATAAAATCCATGTTAAAGAATAGTATATAAAAAAAATAATTAGTAAAATATAGTAAGTGTATATGTTTTGGAGGCATATGGTTTCTAATTCTTTCAGAAACCAATTTCCATTAGCCCAATCGGCGCAAAACAGTAGGACCTTAACCCCATTTCTTATTTCATTTTTCCAGAAATCGATATCCGTTTATGTCAACGTTTCCAAATGATTTAATACCATTACACCAATTTAGAAGATTCAGTGTAAATAAATCAATTTTAAGAAAAGAAAACATGAATTCATGATTTTTTTTTTATAAATATAGAAAAGTTCAAAAAATATCTAGAAATGTTTAAAAAATTATCCGGAAATATTTAGAAATGTTTTAGATATTTCACGAAAATTCCAATAAATATCACGAGTACTTTTTTAAAAAATCAAGAATTTTAAAGTTTAAGAATATTACTCGAATTTTGAGAAAATATAAGGAATATGAAACGGATTTGATTTGGTTCAAATGTAAATTCTTTGTATATCGAATATTCAAAATACCCCTACAAAATTCTCTTATTTGACGAGGTTTAACCCATCTGAATGAATCAACATATATTTTAATAACAGTTTTCTGTAAAATAACGCGCTTTGAATACTCCAGAAGATAAACTCAACAAAATTATAACAAATGTGTGCTCCAAATTAATTCATATCTAAATTGTTTTAGATGTATTGATAGAGCATCTCGTATGGGTCCTACTAATCACCGACAAGAGCGTTTCTTTTTTAATATCGCTCCAAGTAATACAAAAAGTGACCGACAAGGAAATATACTTTATATATGTGCATATCATATCCAAAATTTAAATGATTTTAATCATTGACGAACGAAACCCTCTTGTCGGTTCTTGGCGGTGATGAAAGTTTTCGCATCGAGACACCATTATTATCAGTATTTCAATTGCGTTTTGAAGATATACATATTTTATGGAACGCATTGTAAGTTGTTGCCAATTTTAAACTAGAACCAAATTGTTATCAGGAAAATATTGTTAGATCTCATGACCTTGAGAAATTTCAGGATCTACAGAACAATGACACTCTTGACAAATAATGTATATCCCCCTACTCTCGTTTAAAATGTTAACTTTTTAAAGAAATGAAATGAAATGGGGTTTAACGTCCTACTGTTCTGCTGACTTTTTAAAGAGAACAAGGTTATCTCGATTAAATACCGGCACATGTACGCTTTAAGAACATTTCTAATTTCATTGTAACGGAAATAAGGTGGAAACCGTATTATGTTTTGGTAGAATAATATTATTATTGTCTTCATAATAAATCGCATGCATTAAGGTCTCATAATAACTTTGGTAACGCCAACAAAGTCAAAATGTTACTCATCAACAAAGCTGATATTAAAAATGTTATTTTATCATTTGGATTTAAAACTGATCTGATAATTTTCGGGTCCCCCCAAAAAATCGATCTTCACCCACTGTGATAAACCAAAACCTGTCTATTGGGAGAGACCTGGGAGAGACCAATAGAAAAGACACTACCAGATATTAGGATATACCATAAACTACAAAATGTCTTATTATTAAATACGAATAACAAATATTAGGTAGATATGACTAGCCGTAGAAATATAGTTAATTGCTCATGGGAACATTCTATCTTAATTATAACGTGAATACCATATAAATCTAAAACATTATTATGATTTCTGTGGGTCTAATTCGTTATTATAACGGATTCCGTGGTTTCCTTATAACCAGAAGGGAACCATGGTGACTCAGCAACGAGGAGGTCCCGGGTTTGATCCCATGTCGGCTGAGAAAGTTCCTCGGGGTTTTTCTGCCCCCCCCCCCCCTTGTCAGAAGTTGTGCAGGACGGAGAGTCTTACAATGGAAAACGTCTTGTCGTTCTGACAGGAAGATAAATTAAGGTTAGATAATTAATAATCACCATTGGCAGTACGTTAAAGATCCACTGGTAGTACGAAATCCAATAAAGTAAAGCCCGTAAAGTTTAGTGTGCCATTCATTAGCCCAGTGGCGTAAAAAAAAACTGAAGAAATCAGAAATACTACAATATTGATTTTTTAATTTCAAATTTTCTATCTTTCTACTCCATCTTTTTGTAAAAGAAGAGGTCTCCCTGGATCACATATTTTAAAAATAAATGCAATATATCGTACAGAGTGACTTTATGGTCGCCGACCTTGACTCAGTAAAGAATGACATACATGATGACGGGCAACCCTACTTACAAATATACATCATTTATCGATGATGGTATTGATGACTCATTTTTAAACAATTCGAAAAATATCAACAAACAGTCTAAGATGTGCGGCGTAAAAAAGGCGGGTCGGATGTTTTGTAGATTCCTCGAATAGTTTTCTGCCCAATAAGTATACGGTGATAAATAAATTAATTGATTATAATGAGTAGGTAGACTATGAAGTAGATGATGGGTGGTAAAACTTGTTAATATACAGTCAATGTCGTAACTAGCTCATCATTAACATCAATCCCTTCAATTCATCCATCAAACAAGGTTATTTGTGAAGCTTTCTAAAACACGTTAGACTTCATTGAAGGATTAATACTCGAGTGTTCGTCTAATCCCTAATAATTAGAGAGAGAATGAGAGAGATACTTTAACCCGACAATGAACCGGGGTTTGATCTCCGCGTAGGGGTTCCGCGCTTTATAAAGGCGATCTCTTGTCAGGGGTCGCGCCAGATTAAACGCTAGGGCAATAATTACACTGAGTAATCTCTTCAAAACGAAGAAAACTTTCTAACAATTTCAACGACGCTTGAAGAGCAAATCCGCTTATTGGGGACTTTGGTTGTTGAGGGTGGATTTTCTGTGTAACACCCATTGCTAAGACCATTGATACCTCTCTTTATTATATGGCTAATAAAATAAAGAGATCGCTGTACAACAAAATGCTACATTGTCCAAATCTTGTTCTCTCTTTGTTAGTCTATTGTCTACCTCGTTCACTTGTTTGTATTTCAAAGCAATTCCGAATTTCGATAATATTGTTTGTGACCAGCCCTGAACCCATGCCTTAATGAATACGGTAATACCCTTATCTTTGGGCGGTTTTGGTCATATGGAAGTTAGAGACCAATCTCATTGAGAAGTTTGGCGGATAAAATCAAATTCTGATCCGTCGATCTCTTGAACAGGTGCGAAATTTAATTGCTGTTTAAATACAGAGAAAATCTTTAATTACTGTAGCCAATAAATCTGAACTCAGGTGGAAGAGAGTAGCAACAATTATTGTAAAAACATATGTCACGTGTACCGGTCATTCTGACATTTGAAATCTGCCATTTTGAAATGACACTCTCTTTGACAAGCCTCTTCAACTGGTTACCTAGACATGGTAATTTGAAATCGAAATGCGATTAAATAAACATGGAATTTAATTTAGTTTATGTAGTGTATGCATTGTTAAATATTCATTGGGGGGGGTGCTTTTTAACATCTATCTATATGACAACCTCTTTGACAATTCATCAATTTGACCATATTTTTTTTATCGTTGTCAACAGACATTAGCCAAAGCCCAAAGTATTAATAATACGAAAATAAAAGGCTTCGTCTTATTTTCTCGCTTAACATGAGCAGATTGAGCCATTCATATTGTGAGATGAAATTAAATTCGTGTTCGCTTCCAGATTTACCAACATGATATGATTTTTCATTTCAAATTCATTCTTAAACTCTTAACTGATTTAATTTCCAATTACAGGTCTGGTTTCAAAACAGAAGAGCCAAATGGAGAAAACAAGAAAAGCACACAGCTCGTGCTTTTGATGTAATCCGACATCGTTTCGAATATCCTGCAATGGTTCCACCCATGTATGGCATATTTCCACCACCGATGACATCACTACGATCGCCATTATTTCCATTTATACCCAGATACCCATTGCCTTTAACACCCATGTTTCCATTCCCACCTTTTCCCAGTGATTCCAGTCAACCTGCATTTAAAGGTAACTATGTTATATTTAGGATTCGAAAAATATCACTGTCCGATAAAAATCCACAAGGGACAAGTATAGTCGTTCAAGAGTGACGAAAAAGGTCCCGTGTACAAATTGGCGTGCACGTAAAAGAACCCTTGACAGCTGGAATTCGATATAAGAGTAGGCAGTAGCGCCGCTGTCCGAGCAAAATTTCCCTCGCAGCATTTTTAACTGCAATTATTGGAAAAGAATAATCTCAACAAGGGTGTGTCTACAATTGATATTAACCAAAGTTTTTGCAAGGTAGTCAAGAGTTATTTAGAGGACACAATCACACTTAAAATATTACACGTATAATATACAAAAGTATGATGCAAAATAAGATTATATCGATTGGTAATTGTGAATTATTTACAAATATATGTTCTCTTTGTTTAATTCTAATTATCTACTATTTAATATTTTTCAGTGGATCTTCAATTAACGCCAGCACGAGTTCCAATCCCAATCCAAGGAGAACAGTGTTCTAGCTTTGCTCGACAATATCTCAGCCAATTCGCTTCACAGTCCAAACACAAACTAGAAAAAGAAAGAAAATCGGAAAGTTCAGACAATTCAGATAATGAAAAATCACCGAAAAAACCTTGAAGACCTGTGTTAGTTTCAATAAATATTTAAATATGATTAATAAGTTAGTGTATATAAAATGATTTTACAGTGAACATGCATGAAAAAAAACCCGTGCAATGATTTATATTATTATTATTTTGAATATGTTTTATTTAAATGGTTTCCTGTGAATTTGCGGTCATAAAAAGTATATGACATTCCTATAGTGTAAGTGTAACACTTATGTGGAATTGTGAGAAAGAACAATACATTTTGAAAGTGACATCGTCTAGGTCGAATAATGGGTGCTGAACAATTTATTTATATGCCAACATCAAATTTGATGGGAAAAAGAAAAGACTTCAATAGAACTAATTCTAAAGAATATATTTGTTCGTGTATAGAATGTGTTTTTAAAGACAATGTAATGCGTATACAGTACAATATATTAAGTACATTGGCATACATTATGTAAATAAATTTTGTCTTACAGACCTATTGTCTCTTACAATATAATACGGTTATCACAAAGTTGTTCTTTATTTAGGAGTTCAGTTCTAAGTTCCCAGTTTCCACATGATATAATTAATAAACTATAAAACTTCTCTATTGGTTGTCCACATGGAAGCTTCTGGAGGTTGTCCACATGGAAGCTTCTGGTAAGCTGTTGGTCCCATCCCTGTTTATCATCTTGGTGTTTACCAGATTACTTTAGTGCATTTATCTTTTATGTTGCATATAATACATATGTTGCCTGGTGTTCTGAAGACAAAATGGCCAGAGGATCTGTCCAACATCACACGACAAACCGAACAATCTGTCTTGTTTATTAGATTAATATGCGGTTGACATACAAGATACGCCCACATTTTGCAAGAGATGGGTGGAGGACAGGGAAAACCAATAGAGCATATATTTTTTTATTGCCCAGTGCTTCACTTCGATTTTGAAATAAAAATCCGTTAAAAACTGTTTCAAAATTTACCTTTATAATTCGGTATGTCATATACAAGCTACTGACAAAGGCTCGGTTTTAAAAATTGTGTCCTTATTCGTCAAGATTAGTGCATATTCTTATGGAACTTGCTTATATTGTTTAATATCTTGATTATAACATCAATATTCTCAAG